CACCCCGAACCTGTTGTGGGATGTGAGGGGCAGGCGGGGGAGGCGATGGCAGCCAGGGAGGGGCAGCATGGACAATGGCCCGAGGCAGTGTGGTACGGGGGCCTCCTCCCTCTCTTCCACTCCCCGGGGGACCCTCGGGGCAGCAGGGGCCTGGGCCCTGTCTGGACTCTGAGGCTTTTCCTCCCTGGCACACAGAACAGGGTCCTCCCGGGAGCCAGGGGCGCCATGGGGCAGCGTGGTCTCTGCCCCGACTTCTGGGAGCCAGGCCCCAGATAAAGCCGCCCAGCCGCACCAGGCGTCTGAGTATCAGACCGGGAAGAGGCCGGCCTCACGGGGCGGGGTGGGGGGAGGGGGACACAGGAGAGGGACAGCACGGCCCCCTGCCCTGCGGCCACCGTACCCACAATGGCCTGGCGCTACGATGGGGATCCGTGCCGACCGAGTGCCCCCAAAATGGAGCCCCTGTGAGTGACCTAAGTTTACCCACCCAAGAGTCTGCGTGTCCCTGGACTCACACGGCTCAGCTCTCCTGAGCACTCAGACCCGGGGAATCCCAGCCTTGCTGCTGCGTGGCCAGGCAGCCGGCCTCAGTTTCCCCATCTGTAAACTGAGAACCATCGTTGCTTCCTCGTGGGGTGACCGCAGCGTGAAGCAAGATAGGACCTGCGAGAGAGCCTCGCCAGGCGCCCCACACGCAGCCAACCGTGCGTGATGTGCACGACCTGGCTGGGGCGACACAGCACCCGTCCAAGCCTCGGCTGCTCTGCTTCTGTCCCAGCTTCCTGCTCGTGTGCCTTGGAGGCAGCAGACGATGCCCGCCCAAGTACTTAGGCTCCTGCCACGCACGTGGGAGACCTGGATGGAGCTCCAGGCCCCCAGCTTCTGCCTGGCCCAGCCCTGGCTGCTGAAGCCATTTGGGGAGTGAACCAGCAGATGGAAGATTCTCTCTCTCTCTCCCCGTGTCAGTCACTCTTTCGAGTAATAAATAAACATTAATGAAAAATGATATGTAAATGAAAATAAACTGTTTTTTTTTTGATAGGCAGAGTGGACAGTGAGAGAGAGACAGAGAGAAAAGTCTTCCTTTACCATTGGTTCACCCTCCAATGGCCACCGCGGCCGGCGCACCGCTCTGATCCGAAGCCAGGAGCCAGGTGCTTCTCCTGGTCTCCCATGGGGTGCAGGGCCCAAGCACTTGGGCCATCCTCCACTGCACTCCCTGGCCACAGCAGAGGGCTGGCCTGGAAGAGGGGCAACCGGGACAGAATCCGGCGCCCCAACCGGGACTAGAACCCGGTGTGCCAGCGCCGCAAGGTGGAGGATTAGCCTAGTGAGCCGCAGCACCGGCTGAAAATAAATAAACTTTAAAAGAATACATTGAGACCACCGTACCTCTTATTCTCATTTTCCCATTAAGCACTCCAAATAAGTGCTTTTCCCCTGACATTTGATTGTGAACTTTTCAAACGCGCAGCAGAGTTGAAAGATTTTTAGCAAACATCCACGTGCTCCTACCTAGAGTCCTGCCATTCACATTTCAAAATATCTGCCTGATCACAAGCCCACCCAGCTAGCCACGGCTCTGGCCGTCCGTCAACCGTCCTATCCTCGATGGATTTCCCAGTAAATCGAGGACATCCCTGCCCTCCCGCCAGTGCTCGGCATTTGCTGCTTCCACTGTGAGAAGCTCGGGTCTGGAAAGTCGTTTGCTGAATGTTGACAAAGACGCCACCTCCCCCCGCCAAGTCCTCAGCCCACTCTGCTCCCACTCCCGGGAGCGACGGGCTCCATCAGAGCCCCACCGTGCCTGTCCAGACCTTCACCTGACACAGGGCACAATGTCACCGCACAGACAGGACGTGCCCGGGTCGGTGTGGAGCCCGGAAACTCTCCTGGTGGGGCAGCTTCACCCAACAGTATGGGCTGTTTCCCCGCCGAGTGGGCCGGGGACCAGGACCCTGCTGCGTGGGGCGCTGGCGGGGGCTGCAGGCTCCTCCCGAGGCCAGACCCTGGCCCATGCTCGCTGGTATAGCCATCGGAGCCAGGGCCCAGGGGCTCGCTGGCCGAGGCCGGTCCCAGGGAGGCATTGCGCAGATCAGTGTCACGCGGGCTGCTCCCCAGGGCTCCCCATGGTGTGGCTGCTGGTCCACCTCTCCAGTGATGGCGACCCAGACAGGGTGAGCACGCAGCGAGCCGGGCCCCCGTCGCTCCTGCCCCGACTGATGCCCTGAGGCCCTCCCATCCCCCCCAGAAGAGGGGTGCTGTGTGGGTGCCCCCTCGGGGCAGGTCGGGGGGCAGAGTCACGGTGCTCTCACTGTCTGTGCCAGCCCTGGCTCGTCCTGGCCGCCCTGGGCTGGGGTCCCTTGGCGGGGAGGGGTAGCAGCAGGATCAGAACCTGCCCTGAGCACTCTACCCCCGCCAGCGACAAAGGAGTCCGGGGTCGGAGGGTGACGGGGTGGGCAGCAGAACAGGTGCAAGCAGGCATGCCCCTCCCTCCTGAGGCCCTCTCCCCTCCCTCCCCGCAAACTCCCCCAGTTCCGCTAGGTGCCTCTGGAAACCAAGTCGGCAGGACTTGAGATCCCACCTCGCCGGTCCCTGGGGGCGGGCGGGGGAAGGCAGGGGAGCAGGCAGGCCGGAGTGAGCTAGACAGGAGGGGAAAGAGAGGGAAAACGCAGGAAGCAAAGCAATCCGTGTGAAGTCCACGCGGCACCCACGCATCATGCCAGAGGCCGGCTGAAGTGGGCATAGGAAGCCAGCCACGGGAGCCACCGGATGGTGGGGGGTGAGGGTGGACCCACTGCGCCTCGCTCCACCCCTGCCCCCTGCCAGCAGCCCCCCTGGAGGACCAGCGCCTGGCGTCCGTGAACTCAGGCCCCGGGCACGTCACTCCCCCTCCGACAGTCCGGTCAGATTCAGCAAAGAAAGACGCAGAAAACCCCGCTCTATTTAAATTTCAGGTAAGCGACAAATGACTTCCTCATGATGTCGGCAGTGGCCCGTGAGACACCGCACACACAGGCCCCTCTGGGCTTCAATGGGACCTGGCGCCTGGAGTCTCCCCTGGCAAACCTCTGCAGGCTCCCCCCTCCCCACCTCACTCACTCCCAGCAGGCTCCGGGCCCATCCGGATCACACACCTGCCGGCCACCCTGAATTACGGGCTCCGCGGACGGGACCCGCCACGGCTGTATCCCCAGCACCCAGTGCAGGCCTGGTGCCTGATAGGCGCTCAACTGGTATTTACTGGAACGTGGCAGGGCCGCCTCCCTGGGGGGCAGGCTCATGGGGGAAGGGCTGGGAGGGGGTGGGGAGCAGCCGGGAACACAGCACACCTGTCCACCCAACCCCTCCCAGGCGACTGTCCCCTCTCTGAGACCAGAGCTGGCCCCTGCCCAGCGGACGGCAATGCCCCTGGCCTGTCCCCCGCCTCTTCCCACAGGACCACGGGCCCAGCCTCTGGTTCACAGATCCCCAGAGCAGCCCTGTCACCATGGCAACGGCAATCTGAGGGCCCGGCAGCCCGCGGCCGCCTCCCCCCTGGAACGCCAGTGCCACTGCCGAGTCGGAATCTAATTTTCATTACAGCCGTAATAGCGGGTTTGCATAATCGTACATACATTAATAACCAACATGCCTGTGTTTATGTGGTTAAAATTCATGAATTCAGGCCTAAAGAAAAAGTGCTGATGGCTGAAGTTTGTCGTCCTCTTAAAATGCTCTCAGGTTGTTTTTTAAGCCAGTCTCTCTCCCTGACAACAACCTGTTTTTAATCTCATTATTAACGGGTGAGGGAGAGGGAGACGACCAGGCTGGGCGCTGCTCCCCAGGCAGGGCAGGCCTGGGACAAGTGGGGGTGACCCCCCCCCCCGCCTCGCTGTGTGACCCTGGGTCCCCTATGTGCGACTCTGAGCCTGCTTGCTCAGCTGGAGACATGAATGTGAGGTCAGGGGTCATTAACATCCCTTCTGCTTCCCACACAGCCACGTGGCTGACATTTGCCGAGGCTGTGGGCTGGGATGAGGGGTGGCGTTTCTGTGACAGTCTGATGGTATCCTCGGCCAGCAGACTGTCACCAGGAACAAAGGGCTGGTGTGGGGGGAGCAATGGGAGGCGTGGGGCCAGAGGGAGCACCCACCAAAGCCATGGGGCAGCCAGGAAGGCTTCCTGGAGGAAGAGACATTCCAGCTGAGCCCTGAGTCAGCCAGGAGAAGAGGAACAGGGACAGGTGAGGCCAGAGTGGCCCTGGTCCTGGGTGCAGGCTCAGGCTTACAAAGAACTGGGGCCAATGAAACAAGTACTCACTCAACTAAGGGGTGGGCCCGCCTATGGCCCCCAGCACTGGTCCCAGCTGCAGCCAGCACTGGACACAGCGGGTGGGACCAGTGCACGCCCGCCCTCCCCACAGTGGGTGAGAGATCTCCCAGGAGGCCAAGCAGCAGGGAGGCGGGAGCTGAGGGGCAGCGGGGGGGGGGGGGGGGGCTAGGAGGCGGTCAGAGGGCGTGTGGGGGCGTGACAATCCAGGGGCTGAGCCCTGAGCAGGGAGGGGACTAGAGAGCAGAGATGCTCCAGGGAGAGAGGCAAGAGGCTGAAGCCAAAGCCACAGCAGGCGGAGGGGGGAGGTGTGGCGGTCAAGCCAGCTGTGCCCCCCCCCCCGCCGGGGAAGGGGCCAGGGGGAGGGGCACGGGCCAGGGGAAGGCGAGACTTAGGTCTTGGACCCCTTGAGGCTGAATTCCTGCTGCTGGGGTGGAGGCGGCTGGAGGCGGCTGGAGGCGGCTGGAGCCAGCGTGCACCTCTGCCAGCCCGGCCGTCCAAGCCCACGCAGCCAGAGCGGGTCTCGCCGGTGAGCAGTGAGGCTCACAAAGGGGGAGCCGCTGGCCCCAAGTCTCCCACGCCGTCCCCACAGCCTGCACAAGGACAGGGAGCCCATCGGCACCCCTCCCCTGGAGGAAGCCCAGCCGGACCCTCACCCCGCTGAGAAAGCAGCAGAGACACGCCGACAGTTCCCTAAATAGGCTTCTGGGTTTTTATTCAAACAACACTGGTGGTGGCTGCCCTGTGGCTTCCTCCGCCCGGGCCATCTGGGCCAGCAGGTACCAGCGCCATCAGCAACTAGGAGGGAAGTTCATTCACACCGTAGAAACTGTACAGCGACTGGGAATGTTAGAGTCACGGCGGCCGCCCAGCAGAGGGCTTCCTGGGGGAGGTGGCCTCTGCCTCCTCCCTGGGCTCCAGCACAGCTCTGGCTCTGCCAGGAACACTGAGTATTGCACAAAGACAAGGAGAGTATGCGTATCTGGGCTAAACAGCGGCTTCCACGACCCAGCCCTTACATCGCAGCAAAGGGGGCTGAAGGCGGTTGGGGGGCTGGGGGAGACAGGCTGGCACTGGGCTCCCAGTCCTCCGGGGTCACCTGGGGCCGGAGCAGGGCAGCAGAGAGGAAGGGGTTGGCCAGGGCAGGTGCACCCCACCTGGATGTAACACCCTGCAGATGCCGAGGTGCCCCCCGGCCTCCATCCCAGGGAACCCCGCCACCGCGCGGCGGTGTCAGCGCGGGGTCCCCGCCCTCTCCACGGCCAGGGCCAGGCTCCCTGGGTTCGGCAAGTTTGTGCTTTTGTAATGGACAGGCACAGGCTGGAGGCCACAGCCCCAGGCCACCAGTTTGGGGATGGAGGCGGGGACACCTGCCCCATCCTAATCCATGTCCATTTGCCCTGGCCAGCAACCTGGTCCCTGCACCTGTCATCCCTAGGAACAAGGCCAAGCGTCCGGGATTAGGTTGTGAGCCCTCTGGGAACCCCCCTCCACTCTGCCCTGCTCTGGCCGGCTCGCACGTCTGCTCCCCTCTGCCTGGCCCCACCACAGGTCACACGGCTCAGCAGTGGCCTCCAGTCAGGCACACCTGGGACGTGCCACGTCACTCGGAACCCGGAGACATCAGGGCAGTCAGCTAGGGCAGAGCGCACACGCCTGGGACACTGGCCCAGAAAACAGAGGCTGGCCGGCGGCACCTGAGCTCAGCCCCCGGGAGGCCCAGGGGCCAGGGCCGGGCAGTCCACAGCCCTGCAGACATACCTGCAGGCTCGTCGGCCCCAGCACACCCAGGGGAAGTGGGCTCCTGCCACTCACGTCCCCACTTCCCTGCAGCCCCTGTGCCGGACACTGCCCGTCCAGGGAGCCCACCCTCCGCACCGCTGCAAGCCTCTTTCTGTAAAGCCAGGGTTTGGGGACAGGGAGGAGGCCCCCCAGAGGAGGAGCAGGGTTTGGGAAGCCCCCGGGGGCTGCTCCCCACCACGTGAAGCGCCGTCACTGCCCCAGCCTCCACCCGGCTCCAGGCATCTGCTCTAATAAATACTGAAACAAACGCGGACCCACGCACACAAAAACCGCCCAGCGGGACCCAGGGGAGGAAGCGCTACTGTGTCGGGGGGAGCTAGACCCAGGACCGGCGGGGAGGGCCCAGCGGGAGCACGCAGGTCTCGGGGTGACCTGGCTGGGAGCAGGGTGGGAGCAGGTGGTCCCGGGGCCTGCAGGTGCCTCCCACTGCTTAGGGGCCAGGCCACTGGGGCGGGGGAAGCACTCCTCCCAGAACGGGCCGGGGATAAGACCCCACCAGAGCAGGTGGGAGGAGCGACCCTGCAGGTCTGCCCTGGCCGGCTCTAACCACGCCCCTCCTGCCCTCTGCCTTCCTCAAGGCTGAAATACCCGCTTTACCCGCGCCGGCCGGGGCCCACCGCGGGGTCTTGGGGTCGCCCCCTACCCAAGCCCCTGCCCTATGAAGCTACGGCTGCTGGCGGCTGACTTCTCTAAAGAACCACATCTAACCGGGGACTACGGGGTGTCCACGAGACGTCACACGACTGGACGGCGGGGTGGGGGGACAGGACGGGCGCCCCGCCGGGGCGGGGTCGTAGCAGCGTTTCTCCGTCAGCGGAGGGCCCGCGGGCGCCGGCTCGGCTCGGGCCTCTCCCGGGCCCGTCCTCCGCAAGCTGCAGGCCAGCCGGGCGGCGCCCCGCACCCGCACAACCTCCGCCTGGGGGCCGGGCCCACAGCAAACCGCTGGCCCTGCAGGCTCCCCGGCTGTAGCACTTTCTGGAAGTCATAATCTCTCAGTAAAAAAAATAAATAAATATATGTGTCTGTCTCTCTATCTGCATATATATGTGTGTGTGCGCGCGCCGGAAGGGCCGCCGGGCGCGCGGGGCCTGCGCGGGTCCGGGCCAGGCGGCGGGGCCGCGCCGGCGGCCCGGGTGTGGACAAAGTATTGCTGTCTGCTCCCTGGCTCCTGAGGTAAACGGAGGTGAGACGGGGCAGGCGGCGGCCCCGCGGGGCCCTCATCTCTTCCTCGTGCTGGCCGCGTCGCCCGGCTCCGGCTCGCCGGGGGGCGGCCGCGGCTGGGCCGCCGAGGGGCGCAGGCCCGCGGGCGGCGGCGGCGTGGGGCGCGCCGGGTCCTTGCTGCGGTCCGCGGCCCACGAGGGGCTCCGGGCCAGGCCGCGGGCAGCGCCGTGCGGGCGCCCGGGGCCCGCGGCCAGGCTGCTGGTGCTGCCGAACCTGCGCGCGGCCGGCGGCCCGAGCGGCGGGGGCGGCGGCGCGGCCGGCGCGCAGAAGAGCGAGGCGAGCGAGAGGCTGCTGAGCGTCTCCGAGGGCTCGCCGCCCGCGCCGCCGCGGCCCTCCTCGTCCGACGGGTCCATGGAGTCGTGGTGCGTGCAGCCCGGGCTCGTGGAGCCGCCGCTGCTGTGGCTGCGCTGGTGCGCCCGGAGCCCGCGCAGGCTGAACAGGCCGCGGCCGCGCAGGCTGAGACGGCGGCGGGCGGCCGGCGAGAGGCCGGCCCGGGGCCCCGGCGCGGCGGCGGCCGGCCCCAGCACGCGGCGCGGGCTGTCGCTCAGCGTCAGGCTGTCCTCCAGCGTGGTCTGCAGGCTGCCCACCGAGCTGCTGGGGCTGGCGTCCAGCGACGTGTCGCTGCGGGTGGCCTGCGGGGAGCGGCAGGGGCCGCGGGTGGAGCCGCCGGCCACGCCCACGCGGGTCCCCGTCCCCGCCCCACACCCCGCCTCCCGTCAGAGGTGTCACTTCGGAGCACGCGGGCCTTCCGCCCACTTGTTTCGCCCTAGGGTTGCTCTGCTCCCTGCCCCTGAACCCACTCACGATGGCGCGGGCACAGCCCAGGAACACAGCGGGGCTCGCGGGGCCTTCCTGCTGTGTGTGCCAGGGCGGGGAGGGGCTGTGGCCCGACCCTGTGGCTGGGACCCCTCCCCCATCTGGCCTAGTGCTGCCTGACCCCTGGGGCCATCACCCCGCAAAGCCCCCAGTATCCCCGCCCCCCAGCCCTCAGACTGGAGCCCCCAAAGCCCCTTCCCGCTCAGCGCCCACCCCCCATGCCCCCTGCACTGGGGGGGAGGGCCCTCTGACTTCGTGGCCTGCCCGGCTGCACCCTGGAGCCCAGGCCCCCACCTGCCGCAGGAGGGTGCAGTGGACGCTGGGCGAGCGCAGGGACGCCCAGGAGCCCTGCAGCGCGATCTTGGGGAGGGTCCCGGCGCTGGCGACTTTCTCCTGCCCTTTCTGGCCGGCAGACACAGCAGGGTGGAAGAACTCGGCTGGCATGGGCAGCAGTGGGCTGGAGGCGTCCGGGGGGTAGGGGCTCGGGGGCACTGTTGGAGGAGAGGAGACAGAGCAGGGGTGTCAGGGAGCGACCCCCAACAAACACAGCGAGATCACGGGCCTGGGGCCTCCCCGCTGTGGGGCGAGGGAGAGACGGGGCCGGCCTGCACGTCCCAGCCCTGGGCTGGGTCCTGTCTCCTGCGGTACAGCAGCCACGAAGCCCCCACCCAGGGTGCAGAGAAAGCTGCGGTAGAGCCCCCAGCCCAGGAGCAGGTGCACAGTGAGCGCCTGCCAGGCTGGGCCACTCCCCGGGGCCGACCCCCCAGGCCTGGCTGGAGGCCTTCGGGGCAGCAGGCAGGGCTGGGCTGTGCGGGGGGGGGGGGGGGGGTGCAGGGCCTTCCTGGCGGGATGAGGAGGGGACTCAGATACGTAACCGAGCAGCCGGACAGCCCCCGTGTCCCCGGTGGAAGCCCTGTTCTCACTATGCAAGGGGAAGGCAGGCAGAGGCTGAGGCGGACGGGGAATCCGGGTGGGACTGGCTCTGGGGTCAGACCTCGCGCCCCGCTGCTGCTTCTGGGAGTCAGGGCTCTGCACCCAGCCGTCCCTTCCAGTGGGAGGCCACAGCTCAGGGAGGGTCCTCGGGAGACTCTGCCCGCCCCCAGGAGGCCCAGGAGACCTGGGATGGCGTCTGTTCTCGCTGGGCGCCTCATCTGTGCCCCTCCCCAGCCGGTGCTGTGCAATCGTCACCCTCTGAGAGGACCAGGGGCGATGGACAGGCCAGCTCGGCCCCCGGCCACAGGCCCAAAGCACAGACAGGAGGTGGGGGTGGGGCCGGGGACGAACGCCCCGCCCCGGCACTGGCACCGTACAGAGGACGGCGGGGAGCCCAGCCCTCCGTGGGGCGCACCTCCCCTGCATATCCGCAGCGTTCCTCTGCACCCACAGCTCCCGGGAGGCTCAGCACGAAGCCCCTCAGCCCGGGTTCCTGATACAAGTTGGCTCTGACCTTTTATCACCGGGGCGTCAAGCCTGAGTCCCCCCTACCCTGAGTGACCCATCCGGTTCTCCGTGGATACAGCAGTCTGGACGCAAACAGGCAAAGCTCCACCTCCCTGGGCGCCCGCCCGGGGCCAGGGCTGGGGCAGTGCCGGGCCCCCCTCACCTTGGCTGCTCTCGTGTTTCAGCCAGGACTGGACGGGGTTGAAAGGGGTCGCCTCCATCTCGCACAGGAAGTTCTCAGCACTCGTGCAGACGGCCGCCTTGGACAAGGGGTAGAAGCACTCGCCCAGGTCCCCCACGCGCAGGGGCTCGGGTGCGTCCGGCTCCCCCTGCTGGAAAGCGAGGAAGAAGGGCTGAGCCCACCACCGCTCCTCCACGCCCCTGCCCGGCTGCCCTCCCCCTGGCTCCCCGGTCTGGCCAACTCTTGTTTCCCAAATCCTACACGAAACCCCGGCCCCACCTCCAGGAAGCCCTCCTGGATGTCCCGGGCAGTCAGCGTTCCCCCTTCCCTCCCCTCCTGACTCAGATCCCAGAGGGCAGCGGAGGGGCCTCCTCTCCACAGCCACGGGTGGGCACAGTCGCTGGCCCGGGGCAGAAGCTCAACTAAGCTGGGCACCCCACGGGAGTCTTCCGGGGCCCCTCATTCCTCAGGGCTGAGGCCCAAGGGGACCCCTGCCCAGCCGGCCCCTCCGAGGCAGATGCTCTCACACCCCTGGCCCTGTGCCCTGCCTGAGCACGGCCAGGCCCCGGACCGTGGGCGTCCCGCTGCCCTCTGTGGGAGCATCGAGAGGGTGGGAGGGAGGGGACACGTCAGCTCCCTGAGCCGTCCCCGCCGAGCCCAGGCTGCCCGGGGGTCCACAGGGACACAGGCTGTCTCCGGGCACGGCCATGGCCGCCCCACCTCAGGCCCCGTCCCCATCCCAGCTGCCCCTCCCACCCCCACTCCCAAGGAGCAGGAACACCTTGGCCTTGAGGTCACAAGCCCAGGGCAGCCCTGCCCAGGCCTTCTCAGCCAGCGTTGGGGACAGAAGTTGGGAAACAGCCCCGGGGCCGGCTTCCCTGCCGTCTCTCCTGGCCCCGAGATGTGGATGAGGCAGAGCCCCCGTTTCCAGGCCCGGGAGGTGGGGCAGCCAGCCTCGAACCTGTGCCTTTTTCAACTCCCCCGTCCCCCTGTGAGGCCGGCCCGCCGGGGTCCCACTCCAGAGGAAGGGTTAAAAATAGCGGAGCGACGGGAGGCAGTCACGGCCCTGACCCGAGGGCCCCACTGCTGTCGGTCAGCCATGTCGGTCAGCCACATTGGTCAGCTACGTCGGTCAGCCACGTCGGTCAGCCACATTGGTCAGCTACGTCGGTCAGCCACATCGGTCAGCCACATTGGTCAGCTACGTTGGTCAGCCACGTCGGTCAGCTGCATCAGTCAGCTACGTCGGTCGCTCCACCTCGTGCGGCTAAGGGGCGGGGTGGGCAGGGCCGAGGCCCCAGGGATGCAGCGCATGGCCTGGAGCCACCAGGGCTGCTGACCTTGCCGTCCTTGGGGCCAGGCGGGCAGGCGGCGGGGTCCTCCAGACTCAGGTCGTCGGCCAGCAGGATGGACGAGGACCGGTCCGAGTTCAGGGAGAAAGCCTCCGTCTCGGCCAGCTGCACCTGCAGACACGTGGCGGCACGTCACAGGCAGGGGATGCCCTGTGGCCACCGAGGGCCAGGTGAAGGGTGGCCCAGCCCCCGCCTCCCGCTGAAGGCTCCCCCAGACCTGGCCAGGAGGTCACCCGATGCTGGCCTGGGGGGCCCTGGGGAGGCTCAGGAGCCCAGAGCCTGCACTAGAGAGGGCGAGCCAGAGGCATAGGCAAGGAGACCCCCTGAGTGGGCTGGGCCAGGCCCTGAGCCGGGCGAGGGCGGGCCTGCAGCAGGCGCTGTGTGCACAAGGCGTGGCGGCTCTCAGGAAAAGCAGGCGAGGTGACCCCCGCGTGCGTGTCACGGAACGGAAAGGGCCAGCGGCCCTCCCCCGGCCCCCCGCGCTCTGCAGCCGCAACACGGGCCCGGGGCCGCTGACCTGTTTGTCGTCATGACATTTCTCGCGGCCGGCGGGTGAGGAGTAGTGGTGGAAGACAGAGCCGGACAGGTTGTCGATGATGGTCAGCTCCCCCTCCAAGGAGTCCTTGATGATTAAAGAGACGCTGTCCAGCCACAGGTTCTCCTAGGCGGACGGGGACGGGGCAGGGACAGGGGGATTATCGGCCGGGCCCCGGGGCTGCGGGGCGGGCGGCTCTCTATGCCCACGGCTGGGCCCGAGCCCCTCGTCACGGCATCAGCCGGTGCCGGCGCTGAGCGGGACGGGGCCCAGACAGGCAGAGACCTGGTCAAGGTCCCCCCAGCCCCGCCCGGCCCTGCTGCCCTCCCGGCCCCCGCCCCTGCCCACCTGGGCCGGGGAGTAGCAGCGCCGGCACACGCGGCCCTCGGCCTCAGCCCCGGCGCCCCCCGCCGCCGGCCCCCGGCTGGGCAGCCCCGGGGAGCCGGCGGGCGGCCGCGGGCTGGGGCCCAGGCTGTGCGCCATCTCCAGCTCGAGCTCGGCGTCCATCTCGGCGTCCTCCTGCGCCTCCTTGTTGCTGTCGTCCAGGTGCTTCATGAGCACGGCCACCACCACGTTGATGAGCACGAACTGGGCCGTGAGCACGAAGCTGACGAAGTAGAGTGGCGACACGAACTGCAGGCTGCTCAGGCAGCTCCGCTCGTCCTG